TCAGCTTGTGGTAACACGTCGATTGGTGTGCCATCAGTTCTTAGAGCTAGTTGTTGGCTACTGCTTGTAGTGCAGCGTGGACTTCTCTCCGTAGCATTGGTTTTTGCTCATATGCTCTCTTGAAATGGTCAAATGCCAACTCGTTATTTTTGGTACAGTAACTTGTGTATTCTTTCCATCTTTCTTTGATGCTTCTTGCATCATTAAATATATATTTCCCATAGAATATTTCAATACTGAGACTCGAGGCTTGAGTTTTTGAAACATTTCCGTTTCAGATACACCGTGTGTTACTCCTTTTTTGGTCTTTCTAACTCTAGGTCTTTGCACAGTTCATTTCGAAATTTTCTGTTTCGCTCTTTGGTTTCCTCTTTTCTTCCATTTCCTTCAGTTACCCTACAATTAAAAGGCAAGCTTCAGAGTCTCTTCTGACATCCATTTTGATCTTATCTTTCTTTCCTGTTTCGTTTTTTAATGACCCTTTGCATTTTTCGTGAAAGATGTCCTTGACGTCACCACAGCTCATCGGGTCTGTCACCAGTGCGTAGTGCACTGGATCTCTTCTGGAGATCTTCTCGAGAGCCGGGTGGGGCAGACTAAACGTATTTTGCCTCTGGCAGACTGATTTTGATTTTCCTCAGCTTCACCTGAAATTGCATACGAACAATTGACTCACAGTTGGTCTAAGTCGTAGTTGGCCCCTGGCCTGATTTTAGTTGTCCTTGAGCTTCCCCATCATCTCCTCCCACGCAAGCAATTTGACTTCCTCGTGTACTGTCTGGAGAGGCCCGCATGTGTAGTCGCCTTCTGTGTTATTGAAAAGAAACCTGTTACGAAGACATCATTGGTCTGCAAAATGCTACCGTGGGCTCTCCAGCCTCGTCCCTGTCCCTCAGGCCATACTTTCCAACCACTGTGCCTTCCTCTGTTTCCAACGTTTGCATTCCAATTGCCAGTAATTATCAGTGCATCATGATTGTGTGTTTGATCCGTTTCAGACCAAAGATACTGGTGGTATTTTGCAATTTCTGCACCACTGGCTGGTGCCTCATTTGAATAATAGTTTCATTGATTGGATTTTCCTGTACTTCAAGATATTTCTTGAGATGTCCTTTTTTGCAGATGTAAGCAATGCCACTCCTCTGGCTTGGGTTTTTCCCAACATAGCAAACCTTTTGATTGCCGATTCTAAATGGCCAGTGCAAGCCCATTTCGGCGCACTAATACCCAGAGGATCAATCTGCATGCATTCCTTTTCACTTCTGACGACTTCCAATTTTCCTAGACCTACACTTCCTACATGCCAGGTTCAATCGCTAATTGGTGTTTGAAGCTTTTTTTCATTTTGAGTCAGATCTCATCAGCAAACGAAGGCCCTGAAGGCTCTCTTCCCACAGGCTGTCCCAATCGGAGTCGGTAAGGCTCACTACTTTGAGGAGACAGCTCTTCCTCACGCATCTTTTGAGCGAGTGCCTTCTGACCAGATGGAGGAGCCCTGTTGGCGTGTTGGGTTGCAGTCAGTTCAAAACCACCAGCTGCTCCTCTGGAGGGAGACGGGGCTTTCTACTCCTGTAAAGAGTTACAGTCTTAGAAGCTCACGGGGTAGTTCTAACCTATCTTGTGGGGTCACTGTAAGTCGGTCTTGACACGGGGGCAGTGAGTTTTTTTCTGGCACTATCTCTGACAATATTCTACTTCTATTTCTTAAGTTTTCAGTAACTGACAGTGTTCCAATGCTGTCCATACGGTTTTCACTGGCTAGTTGCTCTGCACTGCACAGCCTACTGGTCCCTCATCGTTGTTCTCAGTCTGGAAGCTCTGCGGAATCCTGTTCACTTGGGGTGACCCTGCTGCTATATGAAATACCAGTGACACAGCTCCGGCATCCCAGCAACACACAGGCCACCACCGTACAGCAAAGTCCCAGGACATTGGCAGCTGAGGTTCCTTCGGAGGCTTCTGTTAGCCCTACACTGGTCCATGCAAGGCCCCGCCGGGCCCGCAGGTCTCACTTGATTGCCAGGCATAATCTGGACAGCATGGAAACGAGTGTTTCTATAACCTGGTTTCTAAGATGTTTTCATGAGCACATCTCACTGATCTGGTTCTTAGGCCCTGCTGTCTTGGCTCCCTGCTAGAAAGCTGTGGTCTGCTGTGCAGATGCTCACCACACAATAGTGTGTGTGTGTGTGTGTGTGTGTACGCGTGCACAGGATTCACATGCATTACTACATTACTATGTGAAGCCTGCCCCCCAGGGGTCTGCAGCTGCAGTCTTGTGAGACAACTCTATCGCCTCTTATTTTCCTAAGCTAGGCAAATGGTCCATTTTTTTTTATCAGGGTGGGCTAGTTGCTCATCAGCCAGGGGCTAGGGGCTCTCTGCATCTGTATTTATTTAATACATTTTTATTGAGAAACTGCTGGGTGGGGGCGGGCACCACTCTTTGGCCCCCAAACCAATGTCTTTCTGGAAAATTACCGAGCAGTTTCACAGGTATAAAACACCCTTGAGGTGCTGACAAGTTGTGTTTGGGCCTTGGTTACCCAGGGCATTGTTGCTTTTCTTTGGTCTCCCCACTTGATCTCCTGATCTTGGGATGACTCACAGAGGCTCCCTGCCAGTGGGCAGGGCAGGGGAGAGGAGGGAAGAGGCAGAGGCACCTGGGCGGGCACACAGCCCCCTGATGGCAGTCACTGGCAAAGTGAGGAGGACAGTTTAGTTGCTGGACCAGGTTGAAAATGTGCGGATTACTTGTGGATTTTACTATTCTCCCACAGCAGGAATAAACTGGAATTGGTGAAAAGCAAACAGCAAATGAATCATACATCCTTCAAGACAGGGAACCAGCTCTTTTCTTTTCCTGGGACAGATCATGGATTCAAAATGTTAAAAACAACAAAACCCTCCCTGCCGCCCACTTGATTTGGACTCGCTGGACCGGATGAGATGGGGTCCTGTGAACGTGGACATGGAGTTAATACCCTGGCCTCGTGCCACGTGGTCCCTGGTCTGGACCAAGATGGGAAGAGCTCCTCCCCCAGGCTGAGAACAGAGGGGAGAGGGCAACCCTTGGTGTGGGTCTGTACCTAGTGGGAGCTGTCAGAGGAGGCGGGCCTCGGGGCTTCAGAGCCAAGATGGTACCCCTTGAGGAAGACATACGAAGTCACGTGAGATGTGATACAAAATGAGAATTAGCAGTGGACGGGGGAACAGACACCAGGGAAACATCTTCTCTCCCTGTGCTCTGCAGGCTACCTGACATCATCTCCCGCAGCCGGGCACTGCATGGCCAGCCACCTGCATCATCAATGGCTGCTGGTCTCCCTTTGGGCATCGTTTGCCCCAACAGCTGTTTTAAAATGCTACAATTCCTCCCTAAATCTCTAAGAGAAATCAGACTAATTCAAGTCCTTGCAGTCTGTCCTTTTTGCTCCCTTTGACACGTGAGGCTGGGAGCTCCCAGGGACGCAGTGAGTGCCGGAAGAGCATCCGATTCCCACAGCTTCGCCCCAAAGCTTATGCTCTGGCTTTGAAGCTCCCACGGGATCTTCAAGGAACAGAGCAGTCCTGACTGGTGGAAGGATACATCACGGAATCACAAAGGTGGGCTATGGATCCTGGACAGATGAACGGGACACCCCGCCATCCACATCCTTTGTAGAGAGAGCCGCAAGGCTGGGAAGGGCCGGTACTTGGACTGCGATTCTCTCACTGAGGGGTCTGCTGGCAAGGCCGGAGCTGGACTAGGGCACTGCCTTGTTCTCCTCACAGAGGAAATGCTTTCTCCCCAGTGTTAAACAGAAATCCAAAATGCCTCTGGTCACCAGGTTTCTCCCTACTGGTTTTAAAATTACGGTGGGGTTTTACAGAGGCAACTGAAAAATGAGGGCAGAGGACCACTCTAAGGAATGTTCAGAAACGGCACTCTGGCCTCACACTGGGCGAACGACGATCCTGGAACAGAAGGATGCCAGTGGCAGCATTGTGACATCCGAACAATGACTGGACTTAGTAGTCATTTTCCAATGTTGATGTTTTTATTTTTGACAAATGAGCCATGACTGTGTAATGTTAGCATGAAGGAAAGAAGAGGGAGGAGTGGCAGTTCGTGAATATAGCACTTCAAGCCGCATGCATGCTCGGTTCCTCTCCTCAAACAAGCTTCGTGCCCCATGGGTCTGGGTGAAAACGTGGGGGAAGAGACTGACTGTGAGGCCTGAGTCATTGTTCACCAGGCTGTGCTTACCATCTGCTGGTATAAAGTCTGTCATCTCAGGAACAGGAAGCAGGGGCCTGATGACCAGCAGAGAAGAGCCCGGAGCAGAGAGTGAGCTTGGCCCCGAGGTCCCCGTGCATGGAACCTCCTGGATCCAGCAGACACTTCTCACGGGACAGGAGCAGCAGAAGCGTGGGAACAGCAGAAACGAGCAGAGACAGGAGTGAGCATGACAGAACAGTGGGCTTCCAGCCCACAGAGCAGGGAAAGCTGAGCGACCTGGGGCCGGAGGCCGGCTTGGGTTTGCGGGCTGACAGCTGGCGCTGAGTGCCCTCACGTTCAGGCTGACAGTGGAGTGGCGTGCTCTTGGGCATTTACTGGCAGCCCTAGAAGAGCTTTGTGGCACTGCCCAAGCAGGGCCCAGGCCAGGCCAAGGGTCTGAAGGCCAGAGAGAGACTGCCTGCAGCCCAGCGGAGAAGAAACTCCTGCTGAGCGGCGGTATCCTGAGCACTGCTCACCTGAATTGTAACCTGTGTACAATCATGAGGGTCACCTGTGAGTCCTGGGGGCCAGTGCCGTGACCTGTAGAACCCAGGCACAGGAGTGTGGTGGGAGGGGTGGTGGGGTCAGACTCCGGAGGATGGTTGGAAGGCAGGGCAAGTCGGACCTTGGCCTGTCAGCCTCTGGAGCAAGAAGAGGTCACGTGTGGCCCCCAAGGCTGCTTTTACAAAAGCATATGAGAGCTCTGTACTATTTTTGAAACTTCTTGGTCAATCTAAACTTATTCCAGAACGAAACCTTTATTTAAAAAAAAAAGTTCAGCAAAAGGCCCCATCTCCATTTTTGAAAAGCCAACAAGTAGCACATCCTGCGCGCCTGCCTCTGTGCTGCGTCATCTTGACAATCCATCCTTGGACGGCAAAGATACAGACAGAGCTCTTCAGTTTTCTTGGAATCTGACATTGTAAACGCTCAGTCACTGAGTTCGGCTTTCCTCAAGAGCACTGAACAGGCTTTTTCTGTTCAGTGCTGTGGCCATGGTCAAACGGGTCCCTGGCGACCATTTCTTCTCTGTCAACCTCAAAGGAATGAAATTTTGGCCTCTTCAAACCGGAGGGCATTTCAAGCCAGCACACAGTTCCATTCGTTCTCATTATCCCATCTGCTCTGTTCAGTTATTCATGTGGTTCAGTTCATCTGAGATGTCAAAGGCAAGAAGCGGCAAAGCTGACACATGGCCCGATGTTCTGCGTAGCACACAATCTGGAACCCTGCGGTCTGATGAGCAGCGTCCAGGTTACCCCTGCAAAGGACACGGTGATGGGGAGAGGATGCATGAGGAGAAAGAGGCCCACAAAATCTGTCTGTGTGTGTGCTAGGCAGTTACCAAAATTTTGGAAATGATTCTTTTTGAAATAATACTATGATTCATTATAATCATGGATGGCCAACTTCCTTCTTTTTGAACTTGAAACTCAAGTTTCAAGTAGGCCTGCTTTTTTCTTGACCATTACAACAATTCCCCTAAGAACCTTCTGTTTACCAGTGATAATCCTGAAATATCTCCAATTTCCCCCATCTATAATATATTTTTCTTTCTAAAAACATCTGGGATGAGTTAAAACTTCTGAACTAAAACCTTGGAAGCTAGAGTTCTTGGAACATGAAAGACCTATTAAAAAACAAACAAAACTTTGTACAAATGTGCTTTACACAGTTGATGTGTGTATGGATTGTGATAAGAGTTGTATGAGCCCCTCGTAAAATGAGCCCCTAATAAAATTATTTTTAAAATAAATAAATAAAATTTAAAAATAAAATTAAAAACAAACAAAACTTGTACACAGTCATACTCTATTAAGTGGGGCTCTTATCTTAACAGAGGTAGGAGGGTTGACTCAGTGCTTTAAAAATGCTGGCTTTATATAGATTTGTTCAAAAAAGCATATAAGTGTAGGGGTACTTAGCATTGTAGAGGAAGTGAGGAAGGCTGTAAGCCCTCGTTTGGTTGGTGTAGAGCCAAAAAGAAGAAGAGGAGAAAGTGATGGGGGGGGGGGGGGGGGGGGCGGTAAATAACAACTGCCCCGAGTGGCTACTTCTCTGTCCATCGTGATAAAAGATTGTACCCATACTTGTGTAGTTGTGAGAATTAACTTTAGAAATATAAGTGACTGGATTTCTATATTTATCTATCTACAAACTTTTAGCTTCATCCTTCTGTAGCCATACGTTTTTGGATGTTTCACTTTAAAGAATATATCATTAAATTCCCCCTTAGTTTTGGCTGCCAAAGAATGTTCCCATTAACATTATCCAAACCTTGCTCGGCAAGTAATAAGTGTATATACCTATTAGTTTTTGAGGGAGTCCTGGGACTGTGGTTAAAGAGCTCAGCTGGTAACTTGACGGTTGGTGGTTGAAGCCCACCAGTCATCCTGAAAAAGAAAGATGTAGAAGTCGGCTTCCAGAACAACCTGCACCCTGAGACGCCCCATGGCACCGTTCTACAGGGTTGCTATCAATAAGAATTGGCTTGATCGGAGTAGGATTATTTTTTGAATAAATAAGGTATTCAAAGGGCTTAACATTCAAGATAGCGAAGGTACAGGAAGCATCTTCCTCAAACAAATGAGGGGGGAATTGGAGATGGAAAACAAGATGGTAGCAGTAAAACCCCATGAGAAATGATGCGATCCACAGGCTGCTAGAAAGGGGCCCTGCACTAACAGAGATTCTGTCAGGGAGTCAGAACAGGGATCAGGTGTCCACTGGGCATGCTCCAAAATTCAAGCTCCAAGCCAGGAAGGGGCAGTGCACCTAAGTGGGTGGTACACCTGGGTGGGCCCCAATCTGAGCCAGATGAGCTCAATTCAGACCATGTCGTCTCCCAGCAGAGGGCCTGGAAAAGCCAGAATCCGAAGCCCGGGACCTTTTTTCTTTTTCTCAAGTGCCAGAGGCACCAGAGACTGTGGAGGAGACCACGTGACAGACCGGAGGAGAGACTGAGGCAGAACAGTGCCCTGGCTCCCTGGCCCCTAGAAGCAGGAGCCAAGAGACCGCGTGCCTGAGAGAGCTTTTGGCTGCTGGCTGAAAAGAGGTGTTGCTGTGCGCGCACCACTGTGCCATTACCGTTGACTGATCCTGACTTGTGATTACCTATTAACTTCCACAAGACACACTCTTAATAACTGTTTTGTCTGCAAGTTCTGGGTGGCCAGAGCCAGGAGGGATGGAACCCAGCCTAGAAGCAGAGTATTGTGGGAGGGGCCGTCCGTGTCAGGGAGCCGAGTGGAGGCCTGTCTGACATCTGCCTCGTGGCAGCAGGACGGCCACATGTGGCCCTCCATGCTGTCTGTGCAAAGCGGAATCCCTCTGAGCGTTTTTTTCTCTCTTGCTCTCACTTCTTTAGTTTGTGAAGCTTTCCACTGTGATGGGCATGACAGCTGTGGAGTCAGTTGGGTTTCTATCCACAAGCACACACCTTGGATTCCATGGCCCTGGTTGCAGTCCCCATACTCTCTCTGCACTCTTACCACCCTGCGTGTTTTCTGTGCCACTCTTCCCAGGCCTTCCTGCATTCTGAGCGATAGTCTCGGGCAGGGGCTGCCTTGTCATCTCGTACTTCGGTCTTTCTGGTGGTGGTCACCGTGCAGGCCTGTGCGTTGTGCAGCCGAAAGCTAAGCCACAGCATCCAGGCTTGAAAGGTGTCTTAAGGGCCAGTCTCATTGTCTGGCAGTCTCTGTGAGACCAGTAAGCCTGGTCTTTTCATGCTTCCGAATTTTGCTCATTTTTCTTCCACTCTGTCCACCCACTGTCATTGAGTCAATCCCAACTCATCGTGACTATAGGACAGAGCAGACCATACAGCTTCCAAGCTATCAATCTTGATGGAAGCAAACAGCCTCACCTTTCTCTGGTGGAGCAGCTGGTGAGTTTGAACCACCAACCATTCAGGTAGAGTAGCCCAACACTTCATCCACAGTGCCATCAGGACACCTTTCTGGTCCATTCCGGACCTTCTAATGATTCCGTCCAGTGTGGTCAGTATGGTCACCAGGTGCCACAGAGTTCTGGTCTCAGCTTGTGGTGCATGTGGTCACTAGTCCTTGGACTCATTCTGAGCATCAACCTCAAAGCATCAAAGCAGCGGTTCTCAACCTGTGGGTCGAGACCCTTTCACAGGGATCGCCCGACTCATAACAGTAGCAAAATTATAGTTATGAAGTAGCAATGAAAATAATTTTACAGTTGGGGGTCACCACAACATGAGGAACTGTAATAGGAAGGTTGGGAACCACTGGACTAAATGCTTCCTTGCATCTTGGAGATTTTTCACTCTGCTTTGCTTTGGATGGGTCACAAAGCATCCTTTTAATGTATGCTTTCCAATTACCCCAGCCCATAAGAAAACCCTTTCTTTTCCAGTTAATGACAAAAGGATTGTTAAACGGTCATTCATCCTCTCAAAGGCTATGCCCATCTTACTTGAATTTCTCAATTCTTGAATTAAAATACAAAAGTGAGTATGCTTTAAGACTGTAGCAATGATCTTTTGATGAGTTTCACTTTACTCAGCAATAATTAATTATCTTGGAAATGGAAATCAATCATGACCCTGCGTAAGGGTTTCTGAGGCTGTAAATCATTAAGGGAGCGGATAATCTCATCTTTCTCCTGTGGGGAGGCTTGTGGATTTGAACGACCAATCTTGTGTTAGCAACTGAACACAACTGACAGCACCACTAAGGCTCCTTAGATCTGGAATTTGCATCTCTGTGTTAAGTGGTAATGACAGCAATCTGAAGTCTAGAAGAGAGACAACCAGTGGAAATCAGACAAACTTATTAAAATACAGTCATCCATCTCCAGCAGTTTACTTTCAGTAAATTGATCTTGTTGATCTCAGCTTTTATGGTTGGAGTAAAAACAATAAGTCTGTGGAAAGAATTTTACGTTTTTCGGGTGGAAATACCTCCAGTCCTTGGCTTCGAGAGACAAAAAATTCACTCTGAAGCCTGGTTTGCAATCCAAGTGAGTTTTATAAAGGATAGAGCACTGGTTCTCAACCTTCCTAATGCTGCGACCCTTCCATACAGTTCCTTGTGTTGTGGTGACCCCCCAACCATAAAATTATTTTCGTTCCTACTTCATCACGGTCATTTTGTTACTGTTATGAATCAGGTGACCCCTGTGAAAGGGTCGTTCAACCCCCAAAGGGGTCGAGACCCACAGATTGAGAACCCCTGGGATAGAAGCAGTTTCAGGTTTTTCATGGGCACCCTCAGGGCACTTCACACCCACACATGGAGACCCGAGGCCAGAGGAGACCAGTGGCTTTCCAGTGGTACTGGGTTTGTTTTTCTCTGCTTCAAAAATTGCTCATCCTTATGTACAAGGGGATGGTAACTAAAACTGACCAGTCCCCTCTATTAATGCTACACACACCCTGTTTGCATAAACTCACTACCATCAAGTTGATTCTGACTTACATAGACCCTGGAGGACAAAGTAGAACCATCCCCGTGGGTTTCTGGAACGGATGCTCTTTCTGGGTGTAGAAAGCCTCATTTTTGTCCTGAAGAACCGCTGGTGGTTTTGAACTGGTCTTGTTAGCACCCACGACACCCCCAGGGCTCCTAGCCTATTGCACGTTCCACCCAATCAGTGGTAGGAGTTACCGGGACATGGATACAAGTCATAGCAAGAGTTTCACTCACCGCACCCCGAAACATCCTCTGTCTCCATAGGGAGACGCTGGGCGAGGGCTTCTTGTCCAGCCAAAATAACCAAACCGCAGAAAAGAAGGAAAGGTGAAAGTAGTTCATTCTTTTTTTTTTTAATCATTTTATTGGGGGCTCATACAACTCTTACCACATTCCATCCATCCATCTGTTGTGTCAAGCACATTTGTACATTTGTTGCCATCATCATTCTTAAAACATTTGCTTTCTACTTGAGCCCTTAATATCGGCTCCTCATTTTTCTCCCTCACTCCTCCCTCCCCCCTCCATCATGAACCCTTCATAATTCATAAATTATTATAATTTTGTAAAAGCAAGTTAATTCTGACTCATAGCCACAGTATAGGATGGAATAGAACTGCCCCTTCCACTTTCAGAGACTGTAAATATTTTTTTAAATTAATTTTTAAAAATTCTTTTATTGGGGGCTCGTACAACTCTTATCACAACCCATCCATCCATCCATTGTGTCAAGCACATTTGCACATTTGTTGCCGCCATCACTTTCAAAACTTTTTCTTTCTACTTGAGCCCATGGTATCAGCTTCTCATTTTTTCCCCTCCCTCATGAACCCTTGATAATTTATAAATTATTATTTTTTTCATGTCTTACACTGACCAATGTCTTCCTTCACCCACTACTCTGTTGTCCATCCCCCTGGGAGGGGATTATAGGTAGATCATTGTGATTGGTTCCCCCTATCTCCCCCCACCTTCTCCTTCCCCTCCTGGTATGGCTACTCTCAATATTGGTCCTGAGGGGTTTATCTGTCCTGCATTCCCTGTGTTTCCAGCTCTTATTTGTACCCATGTACATGTTCAGGTCTAGCCAGATTTGTAAGGTAGAATTGAGGTTATGATAGTGGGGGAGAGGAAGCATTAAAGAACTAGAGGAAACTTGTATGTTTCATCGGTGCTACACTGCACCCTGACTGGCTCGTCTCGTCCCCAAGACCCTACTGTAAGGGGGTGTCCACTTGCCTACAGATGGGCTTTGGGTCACCACTCCACACTCCCCCTCATTCACAAGGATATGATTTTTTGTTCTGGGTCTTTGATGCCTGATACCTGATCTTATCAACACCCTGTGATCCCACAGGCTGGTGTGCTTCTTCCATGTGGGCTTTGTTGCTTCTCAGCTAGATGACTGTTTGTTTATCTTCAAGCCTTTAAGACCCCAGATGTTCTATCGTTTGATAGCCAGGCACCATCAGCTTTCTTCATCACATTTGCTTATGTCTTCAGCTTTGTCTTCAGCGATGGTGTCAGGAAGGTGAGCATTATGGAATGCCAGGTTAATAGAACAAAGTGTTCTTGCATTGAGGGAGTACTTGAGTAGAAGCCCAATGAGACTAGAAATCTTTATGGGAGCAGAAAGCCTTATCTTTCTCCTTTGGAGTGGCTGGTGGTTTTGAACTGCTGACCTTGGGGTTAGTAGCCCCAAGTGTAACTTATTACACCACCAGAACTCCTAAAACTTATTTTCTCTTTGCTAATCACATTTAATCTGCTGAAGCATACCAGAAATCCCACCAATCTGTGATCTTCAAATTACAGTTTATAATGACCTTCTAGGGGCTGAGGATAATTAAAAGGGAATAAATTTCTAGTTCTAAACCTTCCAAATTTCCTAGTTTCCCCTTTCCGAACTCTTTTTATAATTGTCTTTCTTCAACTTTATTTTTTTAAGGGAAACAAACAAACAGAAAACATACCTTCTCACCCACCTGGAATCATATTTCAAGACTCCAGACAAAGGATCAGTTAGAAGTGTGTAGAGAAGATGAACGCTCCTAATATAAGTGAGAATCTCCAATCTTTTGCTTTCAAAAGAAAGTAAAGAAAACCCCTCAGGTTCAGGAATGAGAGTAGCGATACCAGGAGGGTAGGGGGAAGGTAGGGAAAGGAGAGGAGGAAGGGGGAACAGACCGCAATTAATGACACATAACCCCACCTCACCCCCGCCCCGCAGGTGGATGGACAACAGAAACTGTGGGGGAAGGGGGACAGCAGTCGATGTTAAGATATGAAAATAATAACATAATTTATCAAGGGGCCACAAGGCGGGGGAGTGAGGGGGAAAAGAGGAGCTGATACCAAGGGCTCAAATAGAAAGTAAGTGCTTATAAAATAATGATGGCAACGTATGTACAAATATGCTTCTTATAATTTATGTATACATTATTTTAAGAGCTGTAAGGGCCCCTAATAAAATGATCTTTTAATAAAAATAAATACGGTACGTAAAATTTAAAAAATAAGGTAGAGAAACAAAGGCCAGAAATATCTAATCATCAGCTGATAGGGAATGGAAAAGGGAAAATGGTTTTTGATGATTTTAATATTTAACTCAGAATGTCAGGTGAGTGGCACTCTGTTGAGCTATCTCTCACTGCCTGTGTTCTTTGTAGTCATGAAAACAAATGTTTCATCAGCTCACCCACCAGAATTAAAACCGAAAGAGAACTGGTGCTGAGCTTTTATTATCTTAGACAAGTAATATTCAACCACAGATTAATGAAATATGTAGAGGAAAAAGAGGCATTTCTAATGAACAATAATCATTACATGTTAGAACATGCTTATTTAGGCCAGTTATATATTGCTAATAATTACAAGGCAAAAGAAATACTTCAGCTGTGAACTGTACCTAGAAGAAATATCTTAATACTTAGAGTCAGGGAAACATAAAATATATATATATATATATATATGTAAAACAGAAAGATAGAAAATAGTGGTTAAGAAAATCTTTCAATAACAGTCCACATTCAGATAACAATATGTGAGGAAGTAGAATGAAAATATAAGGTTAAAAAAAAGAAAAGAAAATATAAGGTCTGGAAGAAACTACTTTTCCAATTGTTAACAAATATCTTGTTCATTAAAAAAATGATGGTAATGGCTGTGTGATAAAATACCTCATAACTTAGAGCATTTTCAAATTGAAACAAAAAATGAGAGCCATCTGGGAAGATGATAATGTGTGTAGGGCTTAGGTCCTGGCATGCCCATCTGAGCAACCAAAAAACCTACCTGGACCGTGCACTCACCCTCCTGAGGACTCTGGAAGAGCCGATGGATAGCAACAGCTACGATGAGCCACACACTGAAAAGAGAGAAAGCACCTCTTCAGTGGGGGGAAAGCCTCTTTCTCTACTGTCCCTGCTCTTCCCGACCTAACCATGGCTCTCAATTCCAAAAGAAGGTTCTCTTATCTCGCCTCTCGGCAAGTGGGGCCGAGCTTGTTGGCCGACTCCTCACTGTCTGCTCTCGTGGGCCTGGGAGGGGCCGGAAGGACTGGCTATCAGTCTGCTTTAATCAGAGCTCTCCCAGCAGGAGAAGGAGCGTTGAGCAGACTGAAGAGGTCTCCAGCAAGAATCAGCACTTTCAGGAGTTGCTGCAGAAACATATGGAAGAATAAAAAATGCTAGCACTTTATCGTATTCTAATGTACAAGTTTCAAGAAAAATGTAACAAAAAGTAAATTAAACAAAGAAACTGGAAAGGATGACTTATTCAGCATTAAACAAAGGGAATTTGTCTCTATGGAAGCTTGGATAGATTAGCAGACATTTAAAAAATTGTGTCAAAGATACTCAGAGAAATATATTTAAAGATCATTTGCACCTATAAGCAAAAAAAAGTGTTTGGTAAATTATTTACATGTATCATTTATTCTTTTTTTCTAGCATATATAACTTTTAAAAATAAAGCTAGTACTTGCCATTAAAAATAAATAAATGAAAGTGGGTGAAGGGAGACGTCGTGCAGGGCAAGATATGACAAAATAATAATTTATACATTATCAAGGGTTCATGAGGGAGTGGGGAGGGAAGGGAAAAATGAGGAGCTGATGTCAGGGGCTTAAGTGAAGAGCAAAGTTATTGAGAATGATGAGGGCAGTGAATGTACAAATGTGCTTTACCCAATTGATATGTGTATGGATTGTGATAAGAATTGTATGAGCCCCTAACAAAATGATGTAAAAATACATAAATAAATGAAACCACAAAACAACATATGAGTAAAATGAGAATGTAAGTCAAAAGAGAGACATTATAAAAAGGAACCAAACAAACACTGGAATTAAAAAAATACAATAGCTGAAATTAACAACTAGGGAGAAGGACTCATTGGCAGATTTGATCTGGCAGAAAAACACACGAGCTGGAAGATACGGCGGACGAAGTCGTTGAGTCTGAAGAACAAGCGAAAAAGAAGGCAAATTCCAGTAGAATTGTAGAATCCCATCCAGTCAACACTCACAGCTCGATAATCCCAGGAGAAGAGAGGACAGGAGAGAAGATATTTGAAGGAATGAGGAAGGTCATGAATCTACAAGTCCAAGAAATTCAATTAATTCCAAGTAAGAAACCCTCCCAAAAGGTCCACAAGATGCATTAAAATCACACTCTCAAAAACGACAGATAAAGAAGTGAACTGGCACAACAACGGCTCCTCATTAAGATTAAGCACTGATGAATTTCTCCTCAGAAATCTTGGAGGCAAGAGGTAGTGGAATGGGACCTTTTAAAAGTGCTGGGGGTGGAGTGGGGGGGGGGGGCGAAGACCTATCAAACAAGAGGTCTGCTTAAGTACCACTTGATGCCGCTGAAAGAAGTCTTCAGGACCGTCACTTCCATGGGTCAAACAAATGTGCACCGTTGTGGGAACCGCACGCTGAGGGAAATATGACCAGGACTCTATCCCCTAACTTATAGCAGAGGGAATCTGGAAAGCTGAATTAGAGATAAAGTCCAAGCACATTATCCTGCTCTAAATGTCACTCCCACAGCTTCTCCCCTAACAGTGATGCTGCCTTGAGTGAGCACATGGTGGATTCTGTCTCCCTGTAGAAGCAGACCTTATTTGACTCTCTCCTCCCGCTGTGGCACCCATCCCCCCTCACGCCTTCCCCCAATGCAAGTATTGGCTTTCCTCACCTGTGAGCTCAGGGACTTTACTGTGATTACCACCCACCTTGTGACGTATGTAACTCTTAAATATACATGACTAATGGCTACCTATCAAAGCCCCCCAAACAGTAA